TAAGTCATTATAATCCGTAATTATGTCCCCACTGGATGCAACAATTGCCTCGATCGTTTATAATGGGTTTTAATGTTTTTGTCTCGTTGCTCAGGCCAGACAGGGCATCACAGTATGGTAGGGGCTTAAAGGGGTCATATGATGCTATTTTAAAGATCATTATTTGGTGTATTTGGTGTAACAGAATATGTTGACATGCTTTAATGTTCAAAAAACACATTATTTTTCAACTACTGTACATTATTGTAGGTCCTCTATGCCCCGCCTCTTTCAAATGCGTCGTTTTCAACAAAGCCCCCTCCTTTGACAAGCACAGTCTGCTCTGATTGGCCAGCTGAACCAGTGCATTGTGATTGGCCGAACACAACAAGCACGCGTCGGAAATGTAACGCCCCTTACCATAAACGCGAGCTTCATCTTTCAAAATAAATGTAAAGACAGTAAATAATGTCATTAGTTTTACCATCAAATAATGTTCTTTTTAGCAACATCATATGACCCCTTTAATATTTACTGTTGACAGTGAAATAGCTTGAGCCATCCTCTTGAGTAGGAATAGGTGGTATGGCAATACAGTTTCACAGGGTTGCCTAATTTTTGACATGCTTATAAATAAACGATAAAGGAGCGATAAAGAAACATGAAAAAATAAAGTGTAGAAATGCTTGATGGTATTCAAATTAACAGAAATTAGAAGAAATATGAATCAATATATTGTATATATTGTCTAGTGTTAGGGTTAAAGAATGTTGTTTATAAGTTGTTCAAGGAGGGGAAAGCACTTTTCTCTTATAGGCTTATATGTATCTAAATGTAATGGCACGGTCTCTTGTGCTTGATTGCTTGTAAATATTGTTTGTATTTGCAAATTACTTGTATTTTAATTAAATAAATTTCTCACACCAGTATTTTAATTAAATACATTTGATGAGCTTGTATTTGTATTTTGTACTTGTATTTGTTTTTTATGTAATTGTGCCTATCTCCGTTCATAACCAAAACTGAGTCTATCTATTGCCTCTTCAATTTCAACTCATCTCATTTTGTTCCATTAGCATAACGGGCGAGAAAGGTTAACAGGATGAGAAAAGGTGAAATTAGTTAACAAAAGGATTATTAGATCTCATAAGACGCGAAGAGAACTGAATTACATCATATACATGTATCACCAATTTCATAAAGTGAAAGAGAAGTATTTGACAAGTTAGTATGAGAACATCAACACATTCCACATAAACACTTCTGTAAATACAGGTCTGAAATGGTTCAGACTAGAAATGGTGGTCTTAACATAATTCTACAAGTTTAAATGAGACAGACTCATTTAAAGATACCGAGAATTGGGTTTTAGGCGTTTTAATCCAAAGTTGAAGCAGACCAAGAAATAAGTACAGCAGTTAAATACTAAAAACGGGACACGTATCTGCCTTTCCCCGTTAGTATAAAATTACGTGGGAATTCTAATCGGTTTTTCAACTTGGTTGATACTGTAATCTTTGCTTTGAGAAATGAATGTATGAGGCAGGGAAAAGATCCTACAAAGTGGTAATATCAAATAAACTGCAGAAACCATTATTTGCAAGAGGGGCACTGAAATAATTTAGCAGATATCTGCTGCTTGGGAGTACACTGACATTGCATGTTCAACTTTGTGAGCATTAAATCATATCCTTAAAAAGAGGATCAATCACACAACAAATATGAAGTTTAAAAAAAAGACTATATTGAAAAAATAAAACAAGATTCAACCTTTCAGCATACGTCAATCAGTGCAGCTAAAAATCAGTCTGCTGGATGTGTAGGATTCCCTGTATCCCTTAAACATTTCCAGAACACAAGGCCTTAAGTCAAAAGGGGGCATTTCTTTGTTCCTTTATCAAACACCTGGTACCTATAAGCTGCTCTCAACAGGTGCATTCAAACACTTACTGCATGGTAGGCACAGAAAAGACAACACAAAAAAAATTTAAAATGCACTGGCATAATGAAGAGTACAGTCGACGGCAAACACATGTAGAACCATCACAAAGATCCCATTTCATAATTCATTCATTCATTATACACTTGAGAAAATACAAACGGGCTTTGCGGTTCAAGGTGGTGGGTTAAAAAGCAGCAGACTATGTCTACTGCTTTTTAGCAGGTATTTGTAAAATGAAATGGGTTAACATTCTTTACAAATCTCTGAGGGAAAAACTAGTTGGAAACAAATATGCATAGACTCGATTCAAGGCAAATAATTGTGCACCCAAAACGATGTGAAATAAGCGTATCATTCAGCAAGCAGAGGGCTGAAACAATGCGTTGGACTGGCTTTCCATGGTAAGCCTAATCAAAACCAATGTGAAAGCAGGGCAATATGCTGTTTTTCTCTCAATCTTAAGACCAACATAAGGCTAATTGGATCTAAAGCTCAAAAAAAAGATTTTGTATTTTACTTGACAGGACCCTGAACAATACTGACAGACATTTTCACAGTAAAGAACAGAGTGCGGTCTACATTCAAAGAGTCATTTCAAAAATAAATTTTCATCTGGACACCAGTACTGTCTTTCACTGTAAAAGAGCATTCAAGTGCAGAAATAAATGACAAATATAATGAAGAACGAACAGGAAAGCTAGCACTATGCATAGGCTTCTCAGAACATGAGCAGAAGAAAGGAAACTGATCATTCTATTACAGGGCAACTTATTTTATGAGCTGCCCATAACTTAGAATGGAACATCATTAAAACAAACAGTGTTAAGTGTGTATAACTCATGAACTCATTTACCAATGGCTTTTGATTAAAAAAGGAGAGGAAAAGGAAAAATAAAATGCAAATGGTAACTAACTTCGCATTCTGATTACCCCACTAAACACCCTGTGAAAAACAGTACTTGTGAACACTTTAAGGAGCAAACTAGTGGACGTCAGCTGCTTCACAACTCAGTCTTGTACCATAATTGTACAGACCCTTTCTTTTGGTAGCAAAGTGGTGTATTAGTTACAGATATTGAGTGATTAAAAAGAAATACTTAAAAAAAAAAAAAAGAAAAAAAAAAGAAGCAGCTCACTTTCACTTTTTTGTTGAGTTATTGGTTCCTTAATTCAAACTTTTCAACTGATGTATGAGTGTAAAATGTGTGTGCTTGTGCGACGGTGTGAATGTGTCCTTAGCAAGCGGGCGTCTCGTTTTCAGCAGCTGTATTGTTGGTTTTCTTTCTCCTCTTCATCAGCAGTGGATTGGACGAGTCTTCAATCCTCTTGATTTTGATCTGCTCATAGTCGACTCTCATTGTTGCCAAGGCACTAGTCATTTCTTCCTGTGGAACAGAGACATAATAGCATTAAACAGAATGAAGATATGGATCTGAGGTGCAGTGACTGCAAAAAGCATGCAGGAGACGTTCTGAGAAGACTTTTTTTTGTTGTGGGAGGCCTCACCTTGACATCCTCCCATGCGTCTTTCTCTTCTTTCAGAACACGGCTGGTGTGTAGGGGCGTCTGTGGCACCTCCATTGATTGCTATAGCCACATAAATAACCATATAACATAGTAACCCAAATATAAAGTACAAAAGAAAGCCACTTGTCTAGATCAACACAGAATCCATACAATAATGCTAATATTCACTCACATTGATCCAGGGGTGGTTCATAAACTCTGTGATGGTCATCCTTTGTGTCGGCTCAGTTTTCAGTAATGTTCTGATGAGCTGCTTGGCTACAAAAATAGGAAGAGTGAGTCACTCAAATCTATAATCATTCTTAGAAAGACACAAAACAAATGACTTGAAGATAACCGTATTCTAAGAACGGTTTCTCAAGTTGGTTTCACAAAACAGGAACTTGACAGATACCTTCCTCTGAAACTTCCGACCATTCAGGATTTGGAAACTCATACTGCCCCATGCGGATTCGTTTTTTCATACCAGGGGATATAGCCAATCCGTGGTTGGAATAGAAAGGTGGGTAACCACAAAGCCTGGAAGTTGAATGAAGTTAGAGTTGAGCTATATCAGACACACTTTACAAGGCCAAGAGTGGCAAAACCCATTTAAATAGAGGTCTAGACAGAGAAAAATGGCGTATGCACAACACACGAGACAGATTCACTTACAGAATATACATGATGACACCCAAAGACCACATGTCACAGGACTTGTCATACTTTTCTGGACCAAGAACCTCTGGGGCTATAACATGAAAAAGATGAAAATACTTAAAAATGGGATCAAATGGCCATCCTGACATCTAATTACTGATCATTCTGATATTCTTACCAACATAATAAGGAGTATAGCAAGGGGTGGCCAGAGAGTTGTGTGAGGTTGTCTCTTTTGCAAACCCAAAGTCTGTCAGTTTGAGAAGGCCGTTGGGCCTTTTAGAGGTATATAAGAGGTTCTCTGGCTGCAAAGTGAATTTTCAGGCATATTCAGTTAAGAAAACCATGAAGGCAAAAATCATTTCATCGTCGTAAGAATATTACCTTGACGTCTCGGTGTGCGATGTTTATTGCATGTAAATACTGAATGGCCTCTCCTATACTCTTCATGATATCAGAAGCCTCTGAAAAGCCAACAGAACAAGAAAACAATTAAAATAGGTATTGTGGCAAATGGGTCTATTTATTATTTTGGCATTCTTAAACATGTTTATATATACTTTATAAGAGAGCAGACAATGCCGTTACCTCTCTCAGTAAATGCCTGGTCCCCTCTGTCCTGAATCCGACTGAACAGCTCACCACCATCCATGCTTCAAAACAAACACAAAGCAAAAATCAGCTGACATATCACAAAATATCTGAAGTAACGTCATATTAGTGGAGAAAAAAAATAATATTAAATATAAAAATAAAAGATATTAAGCTATTATGTAATAATATTAAGACATAGTTAAGTGAAAAGTGCAAGATGTATATACTATATAAGGCCATTTACTACTATTATTATTAAAGGAACCAACACATTTGGCTGAATGTACAACAGTGGATTTGAAATAGAAATGGCGTCAGGTAGCTATAGCAGTGTTTCCTCTAAAAGCATTGATAGTTCAAACGTATATGTGCTGAAACTTACAAAAAAATGACTTTGTTCAAATGCATACAAATTAACCACACACATCAAGGGGGGGGATCTTTTCACCTTTGTCCCCATGTCATCATTGTGGTTATCATTTCCGATTATAGCAAACCACTGCTAGGTGTGCAAGTCATGTGAGCTCCATTTCTTGAAAACTTGCCAGTTGCGAGAAACTGGGTCAGTGGGCTTAGAAAGACTATCTGTCTCATCAGAAAAGGGGGG